TTGCTCTTTATACAGTAAAGTTACAGCAGGATACAAATAACATCAGGCTGATCCTGCCACAGTTTGTTCCCTCGGTTCAAATCACAGACAAACAGGATCCCACAGCTGTTTATGTTTTTGAACACCGTTATGCACAGAGAGGCATTTTTTGAAAAAAAATAAATTGATAGCAATGTTGAACATTATTACACAAGAAAAAAACAACTACATGTAAAATAATCACACTGTGACACCTCTGCCTTTGTAAATGAAGGGACAGTTACTGCGTGTGTGTATGTAAGCATGTAAAACCTGAAGATAGTCAGATTAACAGTATTTTGTCTCTATCCGCCATTGTAGAAATGAACCTCATGTAAACAATAATTTTATTTATGTGTGGACGAAAGGCCCAAACGCATAGAAACAGCTGCGTGTAGGTGTGGACGCTTACTTTTATTTGTTTAATGTTTACTAAATGTTTGAGGTGTGAAATAAACCGCAATGGAGTTTGATAACAAAATATGTGTGTGTGGTTGGAGAATTTTTTTGTGCGGGGGGGTTCATGTAAAACAAAGGGGGGCCTAGCAAGAAAAGATTGGGAACCACTTACCTAGAGTGACCAAACTTTAAAACGAAGCCAAGACACTGAACTATTCAACTTGTATTTATCTTTTCAATATCTATTATACTTTTTCTTCAGTTCCAGTTTAAGTTTCAGAGTTTCAGAAGTACAGGCTGTCTTTACACTGTCACATGTCTATTTAATAAACTCCACAGCCATGAAAAGTGAGAATTCGGTAGACTGGACATTGCTGGCGCTCGCAGTGAAAGAATTTTGTCAATATGACTTGTAGTTTTCTCTTGGGAAGCATTTGTTTTGGGGTCACTTTTCTGTTTATTTAAAGCAGCAGAAGAGAGGCACAAATCAAATCAAAATTTATTTACATTCCAAGGTTCCTTACAGTGAGCGAGAGGCTGGTGAGAGGGCCTAAGGCATAGGTGTCAAACTCTGGCCCGCGGGCCAAATTTGGCCCTCAGCCTAATTACATTTGGCCCACGAAGCCATACCAAATTACTATTAGAGCTGGCCTACTGGTATTATACAGCTAATATATATATTGTTTAGTATTAAGCTTTGCTTGTTCCATATTCAGTTTTCCAGCAAAACTTGAGTCCATAAGAAAATATTCATTCTTATATCTGGAGGAAGATTTTTTTTTTCAATAAATATTAATGTTAGCCCGCGATTTTGTTCCAGTTTTGAATTTTGGCCCACTGTGTATTTGAGTTTGACACCCCTGGCCTAAGGCATCAGCTAACTGGTCTGGCGGAGTGTGACTATCAAAAACTATGATTTCAGTCTTATTCTCGTTCAGTGTAAGAAAATTATGTGGTAACCAAATTTTAACTTCATGCAGACAGTTTAACAGAGTTTGCAAAGAAGCAGATACATCAGATGTCAAAGGTGAATAAATCTGGATATCATCAGCATAACAGTGAAAGGAGATGCTATATTTTTTAAAAATTAATCCAAACGGCAACATGTACAAAGAAAAGAGCAGGACCGAGCACGGACCCTTGAGGCACACCACAGTAAATAGGGGCAGAGGCCGAGGAGTGTTGCCCCATAGCAACAGAGAACGACCTCTCTGAGAGGTAGGATTTAAACCAAGATAAAACCGTACCTTTGAGACCAACAACATGTTCCACTCTTGATAGAAGAATGTTGTGGTTAACCGTGTCGAAGCAGCGGAAACCACGGAATAGCCAGAGTCAACGGTTAAAAGAAGATCATTAAAAACTCTAAGGCTGTCTCTGTGCTGTGGCGAGGTTTCAAACCAGACTGAAACTTTCTGTTAATACCATTTGCATCTAAAAAGGCCTGAAGTTGTTTTAGAACTACCTTTTCCAATATTTTGGAAATAAAAGGGAGTTTGGAGATCGGCCTGTAGTTACTGAGACCATTAGGGTCAAGATTTTTCTTTTTCATAGTAGTCAAAGGAGCTTGCAGAGAAAAGCGTCTGGACTTCTTTAAGTTGCTTGAATCCTCTAATCGCCTGAGCCAAGGTGTGAAACTGGGTGTGGGTCCCAGTTTCACACCTTGGCTCAGGCGATTAGAGGATCATCAGGGGTCCTTTTGTCCCTCTGTGGGGGGAAACTCCCACTAGGTTTATATCTGGGACTCTCCACCATTTGACCTTAGAACTGAAGAAGCTTCTCGGATGAGAGGTGAAACGTCTTCAAGCAACTTAAAGAAGTCCAGACGCTTTTCTTTGCAAGCTCCTTTGACTACGATGACCTGGATGACTGAGATCCTTCACAGACACTTTTTCATAGTAGGTTGCACAACAGCATGCTTAAAAACAGACGGTACACAACCTGATGACAATGATGCATTCAGCAGAAGTAAGATACAAGGACCAATGACATGTAAAGCTTCCTTAAAGAAACGAGAAGGAAGAATATCGTGCGAGGAACCAGAGATTTTGAGACGATCAATTATATCTTTTAAAGCAGAATAAGACACTGGCTCAAACTGTTGAAAGACAGTCAAGCATTCAGAGGCTGGAACTGGGTCTAAAACTGACGATGAATGAGATGGATGAGAAGCCCTTAGAGCTGAGATTTTTTCAGAGAAATACTTTAAGAATACTTTAACAGACTTTTGATACTTAGATAAAGAATTATGGAGGATATCCAGAGAGACGTGGAGTTTGTCTTTCCTCCATTTTCTCTCAGCGCAACAACATTCACGCCTAAGGGCACGAGTAGCATCATTTAGCCAGGGTTGGCGTGAGGATTTGGCACGTTTAATCCTCAGAGGTGCAACAGAGTTAAGAATGTCAGCGCATGTAGTATAAAATAGTTTAGCAAGCTCATTCGCTGATAAAACCCCATTACAGTTAGCATCAGAGAGGGGAGAGTCAAGGAAAGCATCAGTGAAGTGAGCGATTGACTGGGAGTTAATCGTGCATGTTTGCCGCACAGGACCATCACTGTTCAATTCCACATTGCTCACTACAGTATTAAATAAAACCGGGAAGTGATCTGAAATCCCAGTGTCCTTAATGTCTGTGATACAAATGTCCGTGGTCGTGTCCAAATTCATGGGCTGCATCCTCCTGAGGACCCAGCCTTAGCGGTCTACGTGGGCCGGGTCCTCAGAAGGTCGGGTAGGCCGGAAGTAAACGGCTGTGAAATGGGACAGTCTAGAACATAAAGAACACACTGTTGTGTAGAACAAGTCCTTCGGATCCTCAAGGTTTAAACATGATTTTGATAGGAGTTAGGGTCTTGGATTTAGAAGCAGTTTTTTAACACGTGCATCAAGGCAGATTTAAAAGCGTTTTGATTGGCCCATGAAATTCAGGCTTCCGTTCGATTGGTGGATTTCTCTTCAGCAGACAGGTGGTTCAGATCTGGGCGTTTGGAGTTAGTTGATGACTTTTAGAATCATCTTTTTTGACTGGATGATTAAAACTTAAAGCATTTACCTTTCTGTCGTGGATTCTCCCACATTTCAGCGATTTTGATGATTAAAAGAATATAAACTTTTAATATTCATTCAGATGTTTTGTGATTCTAAATTTTCTTTAGTCATTACTCAGCTTTTGTACATTTTAAGGATGTTCAGCTAGTTTCCAACTTTGAAACTTTTTCTGTGTGAACTTTAGATTTAAACAGTTTTACACTTTAGCCTTCAGCCTATTTCAGCTCATTCAACATTTTTAACTTAACATTCAACAATTATGTCATTTCAGCTCAAAACATTCAGCTATCAGCATTCACATTGCAGTTTCTTTAGAAAATGCATTTTCTAGTTTGTTAAGCAGTCACGCAGGATGCGCAAAGACACCTGGAGCTTGTTTTTTATCCAGTTTCTCTCTGCACCTCGACATTCGCATCTGAGAGCACAGGTGGCATCATTAAGCCAAGGTTGACGTGTAGATTTGGTGCGTTTAGTCCTTAGTGGAGCAACATTGGCCCGAGGAGAGCTGAAAAATGAACAATCGAGGGATTTAGGATGAAAGTCCACAGTGACCTGGTGCCCATCCGAAGAGTGATCGTTGCTAACAGGAGCACTTCCCAGCGGACGAAGGTTACTGAGATTCATGCCACCTCTGTAGGTCCACACCCATCGCCAGACAGGTAAAGGCTTCGCTGGCAGGTCAGAGGGAGCAGGAAGTCCAACAGGCCGGATCCAGCGATGGCAGCTGAATCTGTAACTGGACTGGTCCCAGAGGGCTTGAAAAGATGGTAGCACACCTGTAAGAGTACGAGGTTTCTTTACTCCATGTGATTTCAGGTAAGCCTTGAAGCGTAAAAGGATGCCACCTCGCTTTCCCTGTCTTCTAGAGCGCTTCCTGCGAGGCAGGGCAAATGGTGAGTGATGTAGGCAGTCAGGTATGTCCGTCAAAAGTGGAGGAAGACTTTGTGGCTCACTTTCCAAATCAAGCATTCAGTGTTTTAGTGGCCGACGGTTCAGAAGAGTTTGGCGATCATAGACAAGTAAAGCAGAACCATCAGGGCAACATAGAAAAAGAAAGGTAACAACCAGCAGACACAACCCAAAGAGACGTCTCGCTGTGCACACTGGTGCCATCTTGGATGCTGCCAGCATAACTAAGGGATGTTGCTGACATATTCTTGAGATAATTTTCATAAATATATAAAATTATTTCAATCTTTTAGGGTCTGCAAAAAACTGACAACGTTTTGGCGTGATTTCAGTCTTTTCAGCACATAAAGGTTAATCTTTCAAAAATGAGGAACAATTATAATTTTCATTCAAACAAATATGAATGTACAGACCCTAAAAGATTATTTTTATAGGTTTATTGTTTGAGTAACTTACCCTGACAAGTGAAAAACACCTCCAGGTACTCGTAGGTGCCATGACATGGGTCTACTAAGCTTGGTGCTTCAACAGTACAGCTGTTCTGCCAGTTACACCTGTGAATGCAGGTAAAAGGTGAGTCAGCAGAAGCTGAGAGAAGATGGAGGGCTGAAGGAAGAGAGTCAGCGTCCGTACATTTTAGTAAAATATTCCATGCTTGCGGACCAGGAGCATTTAACATTTTGGAGCTCAGAATCAGAACGTCCATCAGGGCACGTGGTTTTGTCACGGCGACCATAATTCGCCCAGGAGACGACTATAACCTGTCCTTCATCTGAGGAAGAGTTCATAGAGTCAAACTGTAACCATGGTGATATTTTTTTTACATGAATGCTCAAACATACAAAGACATAGAAGCTGTGTTCTCACCACACTGAAGGTTTGACTGAGATCCTCCACATGTTACACTGTGGCCTGAAACAGACACAGATCCCATAGAAACTGTAATCATTCATGTACAGATTGGGTTCATCAGTCATTTCTAATCACAGGTTTAACAGAGTCGTTACGTGTGAAGCAGGCGTAGGTGGTCTCCAGGTATTTGCAGACTCCAGGATCATAAGTAATGTTTGACTTTATGTCACACTTGGTTTTTCCATCACAGCTGCAGGGAGACAGAAACATATGGTGGCCCTGAGGGGTCAAACGGACTGCAACTTAAGAAAACACCAGCAAACAGAAAAACGCAGCAAAAGCACACAAAACACCACAGAAGGGAAAAAAAGAAAAAAGTTCATGAAAACGTTAAATTTGGCTGACTGTCGGCAAAGTTACGTGATAGTTACGTGATAGTTACGTGATAGTTACGTGATAGTTACGTGGGCTCACTGACTGCAGCACAGATAAGATCTTGGAGAAGCTTGCGGCTGCCGTGAACACTCAGAATAAGACCTCTGAGTGTAAATTGGATCACATCTTGGAGAAGCTCACTGTGGTCGTGAGCAGAGATGAGCAGAGATGGGCAGTAACGCGTTACTTGTAACGCGTTAATCTGATTACTTTTTTCAGGTAACGAGTAAAGTAAGGGATTACTATTGCCAAAACAGTAATTAGATTACCGTTACTTCCCGTAGGAACGCTGCGTTACTGCGTTACTAAAACCGTGATTTTTTTGCGAGAATG